TGTCTTCATGCTTTTTGAGTTCACGTAATTGCATATGGTCTCTTTCAGGTCATTTCTGGTACCCTGTAAAGGGCACTTGGTGAATGGGGGACCAAGCACTTCAACTTCAGATTGTGGAGTGAAGCACTGACTATGTAGGCAGCAATTGCCTGTTAAGGAGAGATGTGGCTGCTGGCACTTTTGTCACTGTCTTCTGACGTTGCCCGTTTAAGACTTTGACTTACTCTTTCTTCTTCTTGCAACATCCATAATACTTTCCTTCATCTTCTTTGTTCCTTACTGTCCTTTTTGATTGGGAAAGTAAGTCTTCCGCTTCTTACTAACAAAACATGAAAGTACAGATTGTGTATGCAGTCATCTCCCCACTTCTTTTTTTGAAGTAAGAAAAAGAAACCAAAATGCATTCATTTAAAAATTTATTTAATTTTCTGAATCCCAAAACCTTGAATGTAGGCATTTTTAGCTTGGTCTCCTAGGCAAAGATGTTTCTGCAATCGTTTTCCACTGTCTAATAATGTCTAATTAATAACTGTGGAAGCCTTTAGGTAGATGGCAAACGCTTCAAGTAGGATAGAGATCTCAGTTACGAAGTTCACAAGTTTCACAAATACAGATAAGCAGGTAGTAAAGTGTCCTACTACCATACTGGTAAGGCTGCAGCATGAGGTCAGCCGTTATGACTGGAAATGAGAGGATCTGTGTGGAAGAGATTTTATGAAGACCCCAGCTGTGTGGAAAGGGCCAGGAGAGCATGGGCACTCACAAGTGCCAAGGGTCTAGCCAGAAAACACCCATCCATGAAAAGGCACCCTTCATTCATCCGTCTTCAGTGCTGCTCCTTATGGCTGCCCTTCTTGATGTCCTTCTAGGAATAACACGTCCAGCAGTGAGCAAGAAAGAACAGCATAAACGCCTTTCAGTTCGCGCTCTGTTGTTACTACTGCAGCTCTTCCTGTGGTCCCTGACTGCTGAGTGCCATGATTAGCCTCGGCTCTTGCCTTTGGCCTTGACCGCCGCACAAGTGTCTTCCTTGAGCAAGTGCTTGTTCCCTAGTGTAGCTGGGGCCTTTCCTCGTTCAGCTGGTCTCCCCTTTTTCTTCTCTCTGCAGAAACACCGCAGTGTATGTTGTGCTGTATCCTCTGATAACCCCCTGGGTGCCTGTCCCCAAGCCGTCTTTCCTCTGCGGAGACACTATGGGATAGCTCTCTGGTGTCTTTGAGATCTGTACGTAGGCAGACAATATAGCAGGTGTGGATGTACTTGAATCATAGTTGTGCTTTGGAAAATAGCTGCTGTGAATGCAGTCGTGTGTTGTAAACAGCTCATCTTAGTGTCATGCAGGCATTACAAGAACACGGTTGTACCGTTAGTGATCCAAAGACTAAGAATACACCTTTCAAGATAAACTGGTTGCACCTATATTATCCCAAAACACACAGTTTGTTAGACAAGCAAAAGCCAAAGTCAGTACGAAGTGTGTATTTTCTGGTTGTGTCTCTTTAGTCTTTCAGCAGCAAATTTAACGTTACGCTACGGTGTTACCCAATGGCGGGACTTTAATGAAAGTGAAACAATAAAATAAACTTTTAGGAACAACTTCTAACCAAATGCTGAAACAAAATATAAACAAATGTTGGCTATATGAATTGTCAGTAAATTTGACTTCTAAAAAATTTTTAATTTTATGATATGAAGGAGCTGGAGGAATTCTGGTTTGGGTTAGCTTTATTTTCTTGGGCTTCTTTGTTTTTTATTTAGCTTTTTGATGTTGTTTGTGTAGCTTTTTAATGTAGATACATTAACTGTTTCCAGTTTGGCTGAAGGGAAGTGTTTGCTTTGCGATGCCTGGATGCAGCGCTGCAAAATTCACGCATTCCGAAGTTCAGCTGTTTGGAAATGGCATTTTCAGCATACAGGCTTTCAGCCGCAGTTCTGCTTTTGATGTATCTTCAGAGTTAAAAATGAACATAATTGGGTAAAGCCCCTTTCCTGAGAAGTCTGCCTAGTGACTTTTGTAAAAGAATACGCTCGCCTGCCTAGGAGACAGGCTGGCATCTGCTTTTCAGTATATGGGCACCTTTTATCCTGGATTAGTCTCCTGCTACTTTGGCTTCAGTTTTACACCTTTCTGCTGTTGTTTTATTTACTATTTCAGCAATTAAATAATAGGGTAGTCCCACTTGAGAAGTGTTTACAGCTATGTACAGAAAAAATGTATAGACTTAAACTAAAAAAACCCTATCTTTAAAGGTTAAGTCAGTTTTTATTTCGCTTAAGCAGATATTAAAATCCTCTTCTCTCTCTACATCGTTTATATTGTTAACAACTTGTAGGACTTTATACCACATCACATTACTCTCCTGGAAATAGATTTGAATATCTAGAAGTACAAAATAGAAATTTTTTAAACAGTGAAAAGTAATTTTCCTGCATAATAGCCAAAATAAAGTGCCATGAAGCTATTAGCAGTAAATTGAATTTTTTGGTATGTAATTTAGCATAAATACTGACAAGCTGAAAAAAAAAATATAAAAGCAACAAACCCATGCTCATTAGTCATTCAGTTGAGCAGCGCCGAGGCAGCAGTCGGCCAGGGCGTGCGTTTTTATGTCTGCTTCAATTGCACACTCCATTTATTTGGCCATGGCATGGGCGGCTCGCTCTGTCGCAGGCCTCAGTGGGCGATGAGCGCGTTGCGCCCCAGGGCAGCTGGGCCGCTCGGCTGGGGCAGATGTTCTTTTCAGCTTATTCACTGGCCATTGCTGGGTTGTTTACTGTTGTCATAGCTACCCCCATTTCCATAGCAGCCGCGCTGCTGTGTGTGAAGCAAGTGAGTATAGTTATAAAAAGGATCATATTTTGTTCTGTCTCTATAACTTACCATCTGTCCGCTGACTGTTCATGATGGATTCCAAAAACCAATTTAAGAACAACAGCAGCCGGCTGATGATTTTTGCTTGTATTATCAAAGTGACAGTGGCTGAGGATGCAAATCAGTTGGGGCTTCAGTGAAATGCAAGCTTCGTTTCTTTCCCCAAATTGTAGCAGTTTTGCTTCCAGCACATTCTCAAACATCACTGAAATCCTTACTGAGGAAGCAGGCGTCAGTAATGACCAGGTGTCGTCTTTTGTATTGGATTAGGTGTAGGCGCTCTCTGTGCTTTCCCCCTCTGCCATTAGCTCATCCCGGTGTGTTGATTCCAAATTGTGCTGTTGCAACTGCTTTCACAGATCATCTGTAATGAAATCTAAGTACTCTTCAGTAAAATTAAATAGCAAACTTGTGAAGCTCACAGAGAAGATACCGTGCACACACGAGTACCATTTGGTGACATATTCATCAGTGCACTCTCCTTAGCAGCAGTACTAGGATCACATGGAAGTTTGGGGGGAAATCCAAAACGTGATCAAAGAGCCCGCTGAATAATGAACTCTTTATTACCTCTACGCTGCAGAGATTCAGTTGAATCTATAGCTTAGCAAGGGGGGCAGAAAGATTAGCCCACTTGTAAATAATGTATTTATTGGTTGATTTTTCCAGATCCTGACATTGATGCTGCCACTGCCATGATGCTTTTGAATACTCCCCCTGAGATACAAGCAGGTTGTGAGTAGATATTTCTATAGCATATAGCAACATAGACATGTAAAGTTAATATTCTCTTTTCTAAATATACAGTGTACCAGATGAAAAGGATTTAATAAAGAAATATAACTTCCCTTGTCGACCCTTATACTTACTTGACCCTTACATGAAGTATAATTTTGTGGTTCGTGTTACATTCACTGTTACAGGAATAATAGTAATCCATAATCTCTACTGTTCAAGAGAGGTTATTGTTATTCAAGACATACATATAACTGAGTAACATGCTATTATCCATACTGATAGAAAGACCCAGGGCAACAGCCAGGAGAAAGGCAGAGAGAGAAAGAGAGCAAGAGAGTGAAGGGTACGTGGCATATGGTTTTGTTTTCATTTTGTTTTGGTTTGACTCCTATCGTGTGAGTTACCACAGCCATCTGGATACTTTCCATTCACTTGGGCACTGTTTCAGCTCCTTCCTTGCACACATCCTGCCCGTTTTGCTGTTTTGCTCGGTCTAATTCCAGGCGCTAAGCAGGCTCCTGGAAGTAAGGAAAGGTCTGACTTCCTGCCAATAGGATCTTTCTTCTTCTGTGACCAGACCTGAGGTTTTGATGCTATATGCTAACAGAGCATTTAAAAGGCCTTGGCCCCCACTGCACTGGGCTGTGCAAACAGGGAAAAGGATCGTCCTGTCCCAAAGAGCTTACAGTGAAGGCATTAGAGGAAGCCATGAAGGGATACGGCCACACAAAAGCAGGGAATACCAGAAAACAAACACATCACTGGTCAGCAAGCATGGCAGTAATGCCAAGTGACAGGCCGCCCTAAAAAAAATAAAGGCAGAAGTTAAAATAGAAGCCGTTACGAAGCCTGTCCTACCATCGCAGCTATTGTTCTAGCTCACGCAACCAAATCCAAATTTGAGGAGAAGCCTTGATTCGCACTTTGATACTCTGCCTAGGGAGGAGAGTCGATGACAATCAAAACATTTCCCGTGCAGCCGAGGAGAGCTATTGTCCGCCTGCTTTGTGACCTGGCCGGAGAGTGTCTGTTGAGAACCTCCTGTGGGGGAGAGCATGATGCACCAAGAAGCTATCCCTTCCCAAGAGCGAGCGGTCCGTACCCTCCTCTCACCTAATCAGCTGTCAGGAATTGTGTGCCATAAAAGAGGGAGGAATTCCAACTGTGTGTGGGTAGATAAAAAGAAAGATTGTACTGGGGGGAGGAGATGAGGTTAGTAGGGAGAAAGAAATGGGAGATTTTTAGAGGAGCATAAATTTAAAGAAGTTAGATTTGTGGGGCAAAGAAAAGGAGAAAAGAAGCTGGGGTAGAGTGAAAGAGAAGGAATGCAGGGGTAAAGGACAGAGAGGATGTGTGAGAGGGAAGAAGAAACAAAGAGGCATGTTCACAGAAGAGGATGGAGAAAACACAGGATGATCCAAACTCCTGAAGAAACTGGAGAACAGGAGGAAGATGCAGCTATGAAAGAGTGGAGATACATAGTAAGCTGCATGCATTAAACGCATGCTGCAGACTTGTGTCACGTGTACGTATTTCCAGTGTTGTAGCTGTTCATGTGGAAGTGATCTGGGGATGTGGGCACTTTCATTTCATAGAGATCAGAGGTTTTGAAGGGCAAATGGCTTATCGCTATCTTACAGAGGTCATTCTGATGAGTGAAATTCTAACTTTTTAACCCTGTAGCATGTCCTTCCTCCCGTGTCACATTCCCAGTGGGCTATTTTGTCGGGATGTCAAAAATTAGAGGGAGATAAAACAGAAAGATTGCCCCTTCATTCACACTGCTCCTCCTTGATGTCAGCAAGTAATGAGACCTTCCTCTGTACCTATAAACTGAAACATGGTGTCAGAAGTTCATGAATCCTTCCAGATAGTCTGGAGAATAGAGAAGAGAGAAGAGAGAGCAGAAGTGTTAATCTTGTCCTCATTGGTCCTCTAAATGACAAAGGAGAAATATTTTTATCTGTGTGTGATAGATGTTTGAGGAAGTTAAACAGTCCATCCTGTGAATTACAATAGGATCTCGCTTTTCTACCATGTTAGGAAACTCTTGGACAACTTAAAGGAAATTAATTACTACTGCACATTAAGGAACAACTGCATGAAAAACAACTTTTAAAATTCATTGTCAAATAAAAGGCAAATGGGCTATAAAAAATTCATAGCAATTCTGAGCATCGTATGGAAGCTCACAATTCATTCTCTGTTACTGACTACACTGGTCTGTAAATCAAGCTGTAAATTATCAGTGAAGTAAACATGCTGATAATGTTTGATCCCTTGAAGATTTAGGATTCTGTGCATAGTGTCAGATGGTGGTGTGGTGTCAAGCACGTGCCAAAGCCATCAGAGCTGCAAAATGCCCCTTCTTTTGAAAACAAAGCTTGCCTGCAAATGATTCGAAGACGCAGGGGCATTATGTGCAGTTGGACCACTAGTGTTAGTAACTGACTACAAATGCCCTTTTGGTATCCGAATCTGTTTGACTATGAGTGTGCCAGTTTCCTTGACAAGAAAGATGGTCAGATGAAGACAGAACCTGAGACTAATTTCACAGTGTAACAATATGACAAGTCAGAAATTTTGAAACTCCAGTCCGTTAAGGCTTTTGTCTGTCTTAAAAAACATTTAAACATCATTGTGAAACATGGATGTTGCCAAAGCAGAGTATGACAGAGTCTGAATTCGTGTGTGTGTGGATCGTTACAGATGTTGGCTTTTTACTTTCAAGGCATCTTCTTGGATTAAAAGCTGCCCTCCAACAGGGTAAAAATCTGTGCTCATCAAGGCCATGTGGATGCAAAAAGCGTCTTTAGGATAAAGTTAACTGCAGCCATCATTCAAAGTCTTATTAAAATTTTACTCATTTAATATAGTCTGTCAGAGAGGAATCCCATCTTAGTGGCATTAGAAAATCCAGAGAGTAAACTATTGCTTTTTTGCAACAGATTGATTAATTAACTTTACGTTTTTGAATGACCATTTAGAATTCCCTGCTCGTGTGTGAAACACAGCTGACAGCCACGCATGAATTTTAAAATCAGCTTTTGCTTTTATATGAAATCCTGAAATGGTGTCTGAGCTTGCACATATTCTGCTTACCGCTTACCCCCAGTCACACCAAGCTTTAAACTTCATGCAAAAAATGGAAAATAAAATAGTAAAACACCATTATTTGGATTAATTTGTGTTTGGAGGGGATTTACTGTGTAGACTCATAAAATTCATTGTTCATATTGGCACTAAAAGGCTGGAAATAGTGCTGTTATAGTTGAATTGTTGACACCAGAAATCGTTTTCTGAAGTATTAACACTTTGCAGTAATGTCACAGGCTAAATAGTTTTAGATTGTAATTAAAGGCAGAAGTTTAAAGTAGCCAGCTCTGTGCAGGACTCTATTGAAACGTACAATCCAGTTGGCACCAAGAGTGAAGCCTGAAAGATATTTGTGATATGCTAAGAAAGGGAATTTAGAAACATAGTTTTGATGCTTTATTTATTTCATTTTGTGTATGTTACTGCATTTCATTGAGTTTTGTATGGTTTAGTTACGTTAAACAAAAAAAAAAACCCTGCTTTCTGTAGTAGCGACGACTATCACAAGGTATGAATACTTTGGAAACTAACAGTAGCCAGTACATGAATATTCATTCCAAGATATGTGGCTTGATTGGAGAATTGTATTTTGACCTGTAGGGGGTTGAATACTGGCTTGGCCATCTTGAGCAAGTTATGTCAAATTTCTAGGTCTGTTTTCTCTGATGGGAATCCAGTTCACAGGATGGAAAAGGAGGTGGTGAACGATTAAGCTCAAATTAGAGCTCATGACCAAATGAAGCCTGTGGCTTCTGTTGTATAAAAATGTTAAGATTCTCAATACTTTGCTTCTTATCAAAGTATGTCCTGAACATGGATGCTACCAGTTATCACCTATAACGCACCAGTGGTTTGTTTTTTGATCGAGCCTTGTACAGATGCTGAGAGTTTGTCATCCTTTAGGACTCTTCTTGCAGGCTCTCGTAACGGAGCAGCATTCCTGACTCTCAGATTGTACTGTCTTGGTGTCACGGGTGAGTGACGCTTGGGCATGTCATTAAATCCTACTGAACCATTATTTTGCCGTGAATAAAATGGAGCTTGTACTTGGTGTTTTTGCCGTATGTTTGGACCTTCAGAGATTTAAGGCACTGTACCTGTACTAAGTAGCACTACCTTTTTAATTGGTGGGGTCATTCTGTGCTTGAAACGATTTGCTTTAGGGAAGGACCTGTGAGAAGGGAGTTCACGTACTTTATTGCTGGTGCTATTGCTAGTGAAACGACGCTGTGGTCAAAGTATTATACTGGAAATCCTGATTTAATTCAAGAAGCTCCTGAGTCAGCAATCTTATATTTAGCTTTGAATTCATGAGTAGTCCTTTGCCCGTTGCTATATAATTTTGAAATTGCGCGCCAATATAAGTACATCACTCAAGTGGAAGTTTAATACTACAAACAACTACAAAGAGTGCGTGCAGAAAGGGTTTGGGTAGAACTAAGAAACTCTAGGAGGGCCCTCTCAACTCTGAAAACTTATCTTGCTTTTTCATTACCGCTTGTCCAAATTAGCTGGAATCTGGTGACCTTCGGGATACTTTGCAACAGTAGTTTTACGTGGGAGACAAATGCTGTGGTAAAGATGTTTGGGATGATTTGAGAATGGAGCGCTGGGTACTTCGTAAAAAGCAGACTTTTCAAGGGTGAGATCAGCTTACCATTTTCTGTTCTGGAAATCATTATTAATCCTTGTCTCAAGGCGTGTATAAGCCAGAATAGATACATTTGGTATATTCTAAATTTGATGGGAAAAGAAGGAAGCTCTCCTGAGAGAGCTCTACTGTTACTATATCTCCATACTTTTAACATTTTACCCCAGTGCAATTTACTTTTTAAGCTAACGGAAGTGGATTGCAGAAATGGAAGGCATATTTACAAGAGTGAAGATATAAAATTAGCATA